ATGAGAGGGCAGACGGATCTTACGGGGCAAGAGAAAGACTGTGATAAGACTTATGGAAGGACTGCGTAACAATATGACAGACAATGATCAACATTCCCAGCACAAGGGTGAAGGGGGTGAGAACAACATCGTGGAGTGTGAATGGTTTTCATGAATTCCGCACAAAGGAGCACATCACACTACATCTAAATAGACACGGTAAAAAATAGTGACAGTCAAGGCGTGATAGGAGGATGTAGGAAATGTGAATATGTTAGAGCAGAAGAGGAGATACCACAACTGTTTAGCACACATTTTGTCAAAGGATAGGTTTATTTGTCTCTTTGACGAATTTCTGTATGGTGCTAAGAATGGCGATACTCACTTACGATACCGGCGAAACGTCTGGGAATGTGCTACGTCCACGGTCCTACTTTGGAAATGATTATGCATACAATGGACTTCGGACTAGGTGTGTTCCTCTAATTCTTCCTACCAATATGACCAAGTTGCGAAAACAAGGTCAAACAACTTCTATATAACGAAAGGAGACTGCGACCACACACCATCTTGGTCTTCATACCTTTGAAATTGATTATTTTGCAATCTATAACTCAGCATTACAGTTATAAGAATATTCTAGCTTCGGATGAAGACTCATGTCAACTTTAGGATCTCCACCTTTGAAAAGCTTTAAGACGTGTAGCATCACTATCACATATTGTTCCTTTAGTTTTGAATATTCTTTTTTACCTTTCACTTTAGTGGATCTTAATCAATATGCTACCTCTGATAAAATAATTTGCAAATGTAAGAATCCATAACACTTTATGTACACAATTGCGTTTTTTAGTAGACATTTTTATTTGTTTTTATATTATTTCAGATTGATCTGATGTCTATTAGTGGACATAAAATATATGGTCCTAAGGGGGTTGGTGCCCTCTACGTTCGACGCCGCCCGCGAGTTCGTATAGAAGCTCTGCAAAGTGGTGGAGGCCAGGAACGTGGAATGCGTTCTGGAACCGTTCCGACTCCTCTTGTGGTTGGACTCGGAACAGCTTGTCGCTTATGCAAGGAGGAAATGGAGGCCAGTTTTGTTCTCTATTCTGCTAATATAAGCCTATAATCACTACGAAAAGCTTACATCAAATAGACTTTCCAGGCTCGTTTATTCTATTTTGTTCTGTTTTAGAGACTTATTACCAACCATGTGGGCACGGAAAAGAACTACTAGTCTAATATATATTTGGTGAGGCAAGGTTATAATATACATAGCATATCAAGGCCATCTTTTGCGATATTATTAGTCGAGTTTTTATTGGATTAGATAGCATTCTTGGAATGCAAGTAAAAATATAATTCCTTGATAGGACCTAGCATTTTCTCAAATTTATCATAGGCATTTCATTCTAGCTTCTATGAAATTTAACTCATTGCTATTCCTATCATTATTGTATTATCTTACTAATTTTAATCGAAGGTATGAAGACCAAGATGGTGTGGCCTTTTGTGTGGTCGCAGTCTAATTTAAGTAATGGATACAGCTTAACTGAGTATAGCCTAAAAATTGTTGATTGCCTTTATCGTCCTCTCGTAATTAGTATCGATTCCATTCATGGCCATCCAATACTCGTTTCATAACTATACTTTTTCTTAATGATGTGGCTTAGCGGAGTCAAGCTTAGCTAACTTGCATTTTATTTGGGATAGATTATTTGGTACGAAGCATTGCTATGCTTAAAACACACCAACGTAGCTCCTTGTTTTCATTAATTTAAAGGAATAAGTAGAAAAATTACCTCTATATTTAATTTTTTTAACCTTCTAAGCATATTGTCTTAGTTAAACACTTGCCTGCCAATTAAACTTGGATTTGAGGTTATCAAACGCACAACATTTCTGCTTATATATAGGTAGTAGATATATGGGTAGCTAAAATAGACTGAATGAATTAGTCTACAGTGGGGTTGCGTTTTGTATGGTTGCGGCCTCCTTTCGTTGTATTGAATTAATTGAATTCCTATTCCAAGCTTTTTCCAAAACGAAGACTGGACGCCTTTATTCGACAAGATTTTACTGTTTTTTTGCCGAATTCGCTTACTTCGATTAATAGTTGATATAAATAAGTTAGGCATCCATATATATGAACAGAAGCTGGGTTTTGATTAATTCTTTGATAGCTTAACGTTGTACTAACTTTTCTTTATTTCGAAAGGTTGAGTAAGAGGTTCATTAAATGGCCTCATCTGAATACGAAGGAGGATTGCCTTAAAGCTTTATTTTCTCAGTACTTGGTGAAGTAAGGCATTCTTGCACGCTCTGGTGACCTTATTTGTGGGTAGATCTTCATTTCTTATGGAAGTACATGTTGAAGAGCTTCGTGAGTCGATCTCGCTAAAAACGACGGCGGATTCTCGTTGTACTGCAACCATTTAGCTCTATAATAGCGTTCAGGTTGATGCTTTTCACGATAAGTCCTTTCTCGTTTCGGGCGAAAATTATCTGAGCTTTCGTCCATCATATTATGGTCCTCATCAGAGTTGGAAATCATTCATGTAAAAGCCTTAAGTTAACAGTATATCGAGAAGATTGCCTGGTTCTCTCTTATATCTTATATATACTCGTAATTCAATGAAAAAAGGTTTAGACAGATAGATATAGAGTGATTTGGTTAATTTACTTTTATGTTTCTCATGTTACTTTTACTTACGTTTGTGTGTGTATGATTAATTACGTCCATATGCAATATTGGTGATTAGAAAACCAAATATCAAGGATTAATGGCCCAAGAAAAATTCAGATCGAAACTACATAAGTCCTTAAGCAACTCTGGTTGAGATGTAAGCTTGTACGGGTTTACGTCAGGTTACGAAACCACCTGTCATTTTAGTGTAATTAAGGTTCAACGACCCAAGGGAAATTATGGATGGGATTGCGTAATCTCGTATTTCTGCTTTGGGTGATGAATTTAATATACACTTTGGACTAGTTCGAGAGTTCCAACTCTAGTGCCATCTATTCTAGTATAACGAAAGCTTAGCTCGTTTTGGTCCGAAACGTGTGGTCTGCGTTAATCTGAACGACGTATTAAAGCCAAACGACCCCAGTAAACAAGAATCACTCCTCATCTTGTAAGATCGATTTAGGAATCTCTTCATCATGTACTTTCAAATGATATAATCTCCCTATCATTGTTATCTTAAAAGTTCATTGAAACTCAATTACTCTTCGTATCTACAACGTATATGTGGTTCCTTTTATAGTCATTTGTCTTCTAAGTACACTATAACTAGCAAAACGATCGCCCGACAAGTTATAAGAACTAGACTTCTAAACATAATGTTGTTTCCAAGAAGTTTTGATCTACCAAGATCCACCAATGGGAAATTGGATCAGATATCGTGGGGTCTAGTTTAAGCAAGGCTTAAGTAGTGCATTAACAGGCTGTACGAACTAATTAGAACAAAACCAGGCTTATATAATCTCTTACTCAGGTACTGACTGATGCACATTTTCTTAAATTTAAGGATATCAAAGATATGAAGACCAAGATGTTGGGGCCTCTGTTATGGTCGCAGTCTCCTTTCGATTTATAGAAGTGGGTTGA